GGCTGCCATCTGATTTCAACACCCACATTTTGGGTGTGTCTTCCAGCTTCAGATGATCCAATCAAGAAGATCTCTCTCATTTCAATTAATCCCAGATCCAGTCAAGTTGACACACAGGATTAGCCATCACAATTGTAAAAGCTTAATTTGACTGAATCGGAAGTTTTTGAATCTGGGTAGTCTTTCTCGGTGTGCCTGAATTCTGTAACATCCCAGATCACTGGGACTATAGACATGAACCACCATGCCTGGTATCCAAGTGTATGTTGAAATCACCTTCTCTCCTACAAAGCTGTCTTTCGATTCAGCATTTTCCTTTCACACTTGTTCCGTTAGAGTGTATGTCTTGAATGTTGGATAAAAGCACCTAAATAAATTAAAAAAAATTTTTTAATAAAAAAAAATAGAGACTGACTTTTTGGTTATTAATAGTAAACTGAAACTCAGAGCAGACCCATTCTCCCCAATGTCTCTCAGAACTGTGTGATGGACCTGTGTTCATGAGTCAGGAATCATCTATAATTTTTCAAAACCATTTCTCAAATTTCAATTGGGAACTATGAACTTGAATCCTCCCTTGGCTTTTCAGACAGTCTTGCCTTTTCATCCATTGTTCCAGAATACACAATGTCAAATGTCCTTCCCAATCTTCATTATATTCAGTGAAGATATGTGTGCTGCCTTTCAGCCTTTGATACGTCAATTCTCAAGCATACTCATACTCATTCCCTATATAGGGAGGAACAGCAAATTGAGGTTCCCAGGAAACAAGATCAGGTGCTCAGGTCACAAGAGCACATGGTTCAGTGAGTTTATCAAGGTTAATTAAAGTCACTAGTCCCGATTCTGTCCATTTTTAAAAAGTCATTCCTACAATATATACATACATGCATATGTATATACAACACGTTTATATGTTATGAAACTAGAGGAATCTTAAGCAGGGAGAGAAAAAGAAGTGTCAATAGAATATGTGTGATATCAAAGTAGAAGGAGGAATGAGGAAAAGAGATAAATAAGAAGAAATTATCTATGAAAATGACATTATGAAACCCAGGAATTTTATGCTAATTTAAAAACATAATTTAGTGCTGTCAACATGGCAAATGAGTAAAGGCACCTTCCAGCAAGCTCTACAACCTGCATTCCAACTCTGATACCCACATGATGGAAGGAGAGAAACAACTTTTGTAAGTTCTCTGACTTCCACAGACATGGTGTGGCATTGTACACACATACACAAATAAATAAATAAATAATAAACAAATATAAGAAATTAGTTTTGAAGCTCTCTGGTCTGTCTTGTGGAACAGGGTAGGATATTTAGAGTATTGGAGCTGTCATATGTACACGGCTGTACATTTCACTGCATCTGCAAAATGAAACACAAGCTGCTTCTGGGGGCTCCTCACCCAGACCACTAGCCATTCATTTGGTTGCAAGGTTCATCCTGCCTTGTTTCAGATAGGCTGCCAGATCCTGAAAGTGTTCCGGGAGCCATCACCTGATTGAATTTGTAATAATCTACAGAAAATCTCAGAGAACCACGTAATTTCTATTCAAACAAGTGATTAAACCTAGGTGTTAAATGGTTGTATGGTTGAAATTTGTAGATAAGCTTCTTTAAAGTAATTGATGGCAGCATTAATCTCTGCAATTTCTGTAAGGAATGCCCTTTGCTCTCTATATTGGAAAGCAAGGGACACTCCAGAATCTTCCTCTTTACTCCTCCTCCTCCTCTTCCTCCTCCTCCTCCTCCTCCTTCCTCTTTACTACTGTCTAGATGGATTTTAACCTATGAGGCAAAGAGCAAATGTAAAGATGATGCCAGCTGCATAGTCTTTTCAAATGTTACACCAGAAACCAATAAAACAGGACTACTGTAAATAAGATGAACCAAGACACCACACCATACCACACCAGACCACCCAACAGCAAGCTTTGACTAGTGGGGAACCATGGATTCTTGGTCCTTAGAATTTAGCACTTTTGCTAAGTGAAATAAATATAAATTTGCTCATACAACATTTTATACTGAAGTAAAGCCAGCCCCAAATTTGTCCGAATGAAGCTCTAAAATTATAATGATTAAAAAAATTTTGGTCCAGACTTCTGCACATGACTTTCTGATTACCCTGATTGTTTCAAAGGAATAAATATAGACAGTACAAAAGCCAGTATACACTGGGCTCTTGTCTACTAATGAGGACACTTTCATATATTGTTTCCCTTACTACCAACCTTTTAAATCATCTAAAACTACTCTGAACTTACTTTTGTGATTACAAATGCTAAGGGCTTTTAAAAAAACATACATCAGAAGCCAGTTCTATATAGTGTAGCATAATAAATTTACAGGATTCGCTGTGTGGGGTGTCCTTATTGTGTGAATATTATTCCTAGCATTTGCTAGTCCTTCAAACTGATGAGATTACTGCCATTTACTGGATATGAAACTCTCAACCTTCAGTGTTAAGCAGTATCTCCAAGTTTTCTCTCCCTCTGGAGTTATCTTCCTGGCCTCTAATACCACACATCACACATGTTCCATGCCAGAAAAGTATTCTGCTCTTTTCACTTATACACTCACAGCTTCTTGTCTGATATGTGAATCTTTTGGAAGAATTTTTAAGACCAAACACCTGCATTCACTGTTTAACTGCATTGTATATACATTACATTTAGCTATTTTACTAATTTTCCAGGAATGAGTGTAAAAGCAGCACAGTCATGCAGTCTCCTCAAACTCTTTAAAAAGAGACAGAATATCTGAGACATAAATAATGTCTTCCATGGACTTGGTGATATTTCCAGAAGTCTCACAGTCTGTACAGGCCAGGCCCACCCAAAATGCAGCAAGAGAAGCCACATTGGTTGGATGGGTGCTGCTGTGCTGGGAACACAAAGGTGGCTTCAATCAGACCTTAGATGTAGAAAATACACATGCCTAGCAAACCCTCGTTTCTTGAAAAGCGTTCCCTATTTTTTAAGGAAGATAGGGTTAACAAGTTGAGAAGGGGTATCAAAGCTCCAACTAGAAGCAGGTGCAAGGGGACTGTGTAGCAGAGCATATTGGGTAACCTGGGCCAGCAGGTTAGCAGGTAAGTGTGAAACACTTACCAAGGGACAGAGCACTCTAATGAACTCTCCTGGCATGGAAACTATGTTTAGGAAAATTGTTGCAGGCTGGGAGCACTTGACACCTACATTAGTCAAATGCAACATAGTGGATTTAAGTTCTGATTTAAAAACACAAATTTATGTTTTATGAAGCCATTAGGAAAGTGTCAACTTAAGAAAATGAGGTTATTATACAATTACGATTTAGATCTTTTTAATATCCTGATAGCCTTGAATTGCCTTGAATTTCTAATCTAGAAGATGTAACAAGCATACTTTATGTTATTTCTTATTAAATATAAATAACAAAGTCCCTGAACATTATTTATGAGATAATTATAAAAATTCTGAAAGATGAAAGGAAACAAATCTTATAAGTACTTTAGTTCAAGGAGTAACAAGGTGGTCAGTTCTCTCACTGTACTAGTTACTTTCTGCTGCTGTGATAAAAACACTGACCAAAACCTACTTAGGGAGGAAAGGGTTTACTTTATCTTAAAACTCCTGGGTGACAGTTCATCACTGAGGGAGACCAAGGTGGGAACTCAGGGCTGGAACCTGGAGGCAGGAGCTGAAGCACAGGCCATCGAGGAGCACTGCTAACTGGCTTGCTTCCCTGGCTGTGTTCAACCTACTTTCTTATACAACATAGGACCACCGGCTCAGGGGTGGCACCACCCACAGAGGGCTAGGCCCTCCCGCATCACTCAACAATCAGAAAACGCCCCCACAGACCTGGTCATTGGTCAGTCCAATGGAAACAGCTCCTCAATTGAGGGTCCCTCTACCTAAGTATATCAAGTTGACAACTGAAGCTATCCAGCATAATCAACCCCTTGTCAACTTGACATACAAACATCATTTTGAACCAGAACCTTTCTATTTCATATCCGCAAGCTCTCATTCTTAATATTACAACATTAAATAGTATAACTTTAAAAGTCCCACAGTCTTTAAAAAATTCAAACATTTTGGCGCTTCCCAGGCCCTACGCCAGTGGGCCAAATGTGGGGTCAGTGTTCCAGACTACGCAGAGACTGAACTGCGATGGCGCCTGCGGTGTCCAGGTTGAGGTCAGAAGCCACACACTCACTCCTGCGGTGCTCAATACTTGCTGCTCCTGAAGCTTTACCCAGAGCTCACCAAAGCTACCACCCGGGGCATTTTTGTCAGCTCTTGGGAACTTCCTGGCCCAGATTATTGAGAAGTGGAAGAAAAAGAAGACTCTCAAAGCCTAGATGTCAGTGGGCCTGTCAGATATGCAGTTTATGGGTTCTTTGTCACAGGCCCACTGAGTCACTACTTCTGCCTCTTCATGGAGCACTGGATCCCTCCAGAGGTTGGCCACAGTCAAGAGGCTCCTTCTGGATCACCTGCTCTTCGTACCAGCCTTCCTGCTGCTGTTCTTCCTCACCTTGAACTTGCTGGAAGGGAAGGATTGCCAATGCCTTTGCTGTCAAGATGAGGAATAGCTTTTGGCCTGCAGTGCAGATGAACTGGAGGATATGGACTCCCCTGCAGTCCGTTAACATCAACTATGTGCCCCTTCAGTTTTGGGTGCTCTTTGCTAACTTGGCAGCTCTTTTCTGGTATGCCTGCCTGAGGAAGTGACATCAGAAACACCATCAATGGGGTCTGAGGGAACCCACCCACATGCAGGAAGAGCAGAGTCTACCATTCAGGATATCATCTGACTCTAAATCAAGTGATTCAAGATGCCTTAAAATTGTGGAGAGAGAAACTTCAGAATCTTCTGCTTTAGAGAAACAACATCAGACTCAGTAGCAATGACCTTAGTTGTCACTGTGAACAAGATGAAGGTCACAATGAACAGTGATGCAGCAACTTCCATGATGGTTGCCATTCCTCAGAACAGCCACTGCTTTGGGGGAAGAAATATATAGCCAGATCTCTTTAAATTATTTAGTACTGTGACAAAATGCATACAGCATAACACTTACTGTTTAACTGTACAGTGCAGCAGCATTAAGTAAAATCATGGCTCTGTGCATACATCACCACAATCTATTTCTAGAAGTTTTTCATCTTAAAGTGGAACCGTCCCTATTAGACATCACTCCTCTCTCTGTCCCACAAGCCTAATAAGCACCATCCCTGTAATATCTCAAATGAATGTGAACCTATATACTATATACATATACATATACATACATACATACATACATAGGAGTTTGTTGATACACTATTCTTTTACAACTGGTTTATTTTACCTAACTAATATCAGTGATGGCTAATCTTGATCAACTTGATGGGATTTAGAATCATCATGAAAATAAACCTCTGGGTGTGTCTATGAGGATATTTCCAAAAAGGTTTAATGGAAGAGGAAAGACCCACTCCAAGTACAAGCAGCACCATGTCCATGGGCCGGGGTCCCAGACAGTATGCCTTCCCCATCATGATAGGGTATGTGTTCTCTAACTATAAGCTGAAATAAATCCTTCCTCCCTCAAAAAAATGCAAACATTTTAAAAGCTCAGTCTCTTAAAAAAACGTCTCTTACCTGTGGTCTCCTGTAAAATCCAAAACAAGTTAAGTACTTTCTAATTTAAAGGGGAAAAAATCAGGCACACTTAAGCAAAACCAAAGTCCAGCAAAGTAGCTCAAAGGCTGGACATCTTGGATTCACTCACAATCTTCTGTGCTCCAAAACGCTTGGACAGCGTCACTTCTCTGGCTCTGTCATTCACAGCACACAGTTTGTCGCATAGGCTCAGGCAGTTCCGCTCCACACCTGCCACTGCCCTTAGTGGTCATCCCGTGGTCCTGTCATCTCCAGTATGCTGGGGTCTCTACTGAAACTGAAGCTGCAGCTTTGCCAGTGAGCTTTCCTGGCCTCTCAGGGCGCAAAGCCTCAGATAATTGTTATGACCCCTTCACACCTTTAACACCAGGTCCACGTAGAACACTCTTACCAAGTCCTGTTTGCAGTTTGAGCTGGAGGTTCAGGCCCCCTCTGGACCATAGCTTCTGTGTGCTGACCCTGGAGAAATAATTCCCAGAAGATATTTTCCACAGTGATGCTGCTCTTTTGTTACAATGATTTTTCAGCCCTAGCTAATCAGTATCAACTGTCTCAGTAGAGAAAGGCTTCACTTCAGTAGTGGTGGTCTCTTCTTAATCACAGCTGATTCTTCAGCTCCAGCCAACCAGGAACCACAGATTCTCAATTCAAAATATCACACAAACAGCCCTGGTAATCTTTGCTTCCTTTGGAAGTTTCACATTCCAGGCCTCCATTGTCTACACGTTTTTCAGCATTATCTTCTAAATTCCTACAGAAGAGCTCACTGAGTTCCAAGCAATTCTCCAGCCCAAAGCTCCTAAAACTTCCACAGTCCTCCCAGACATATATGATCAGGTCCATCTCAACAATACTCTACCATCCTGGCACCAATTTCTGTTTTAATAACTTTCTACTGCTGTGATAAAAGCACCGACCAAAACCAACTTGGGGAAGAAAGGGTTTATTTTATCTTACAACTGCTGGGTCACAGTTCATCACTGAGGGAGGCCAAGGTAGGAACTCAGAGCTGGAACCTGGAGGCAGGAACTGGAGCACAGGCCATGGAGATACGCTGCTTGTTGGCTTGCTTCCTTGGCCTGTGCTCAAACTGCTTTCTTATACAATACAGGACCACTTTCAGGGTGTGGTGGAGCAGCACCACCCACAGTGGGCTGGGCCCTCCCACATCACTCAACAATCAAGAAAATGCCCCACAGATCTGGCCACAGGTCAGTTCAATGAAAAAATTCCACAGTTGAGTTTCCCTCTCCCAGGTTATCAACCTGACAACTGAGGCTATCCAGCACACGCAGTTTTCTTTTTTCCTTCATAACAAAGAACAGTGTTGAGCACAGTGACACATGACTATATTTTCAGCACTAAGGAGACAGAGGCAAGAGAAACAAGAGAAAAAGGAGTTCAAAGCTGGCCCAGCCTACATGGTGAGTTTGAAGGGAGCCAGGACTGCATGCAATCCATCTCAAAAGAGAGATGAGGGGAGAGAAGAGGAGGGGAGGACAGAAAAAAAACCAAGATAGAAAAGAAAAGAGAAGAAAGAGGTTTGCAGGTAAGGAACAGACTAGAGGTAGCCTCACTGTAAGCTGGCAAAAGAGAGAATAATTTAAAAAATGGATGTCATCACAAAGAGTTACAGAAAACCTTCAGAAATCGAGGGAGAAAGTGGAAGGAAGCTGGAAAAGAATAGACGCAGACTGGCAACGCAGAACTGCAAAGCCAAACAGTGGCATCCCCCTCGCTCTGTGATGGGGCAGAGACTCCAGCAAACAAAGAGAAACCCCATTTGTCATGACTCAGAGGGGAGCATCCAGACCCCATCTCAAGGAGAACCTATTCTTCAGACCTAAACTGCCCCAGGGACTTCAGATCAAGGAACACCTCTAGGTCTGGAAAAATCTATTTTCTTTTCCATAGTCCTTGTTTGGGGAAAGGCCCAGCAAAGTAGCTGTGGCTAGCGGTGGGACCGAATGCTGAGAAGCCAAGGAATGTAGGCTGCAGAAGGCTGGTTTAGCAGGAACTTGGTAAGAAGAGAGTTCCACTCTCCATAACTGGAAACCAGCCTCAGAAACTGAAAACTACTCTGGAATTTAGTAGCTCTGAGCTGAGGCTGGGAATAGTTCAAATATGCTAGACACCCACAGGAGTAGCCCTCCTGTAGGGATATTAGCACTTAGTCTTACAGGACCAATAACAGGTCTTCTACCTGCACAGCCAATTCCAGTGCTGTGGTTGGTTCACACACTCCCAACTCCCTTGGGAGGCCCCTCGCTGTAGCTCAGTCACTCTGGAGGGTACAATATGAGGAACTTCGACAAGGTGACATCATCTCCCAACTCATATAACGCAAAGCTAAGTGTGGCAAGCAGAGGCCACTCAAAGAATGAAAACTACCACTGTGAGGACAGCTCTGGTGGCCATCAGACACTTTTGCAATATAAACTCTTCAGCAGAACCCAAGAAGACATGAGAGTCCACAAATTCAGCTGACGATCTGTCCCGTGTGCATATAATTGTCAGTCTTTCGTTCTCAAAGACCCAGACAGAAGCCGCTCTATTACATCATTTTCCCTTCTAATTCCAGGACTTTTGTTGTATTTTTTAATGTTTTAATCTCCTATTTCCCTGAATGTATGTGTATAACTTCGTTTATACTTTTTTCCACTTTGGGGCAGTGTTTTATCTTTTACTTGGTTTCTCTTTTCAACTTATTTTTATTCCATGTGTTTTCTACTCTCTCACCTTGCATTTAGGGCTATTACTGTTTTAACTTAATAACTTAAAAAATGTTTTACTTTATATTTTATTGCCTTTCCTACAATTATCTAATTGTTAAACCTTTTTTATTGTTGGGAAGTATTTTTTGTTTATTTAGGTTTTTTTTTAACTGACATAAAAATTGACTCAAAATCAATCTTGAATTATGAATAAAATTTAAAATTTAAGCTCTTTAGATAAAAGCACAGGAAAAGTTACTTGAATCTCATAGTGTTCTTAAACTTGGAAAGAGAAGACAATGATTCTTAAAATAAGAAATGGTCTTCATCAAAATGAAACAATATTTATACTGTGAAGATCATATTAAAAGACCCAAAAGAAAACAACAGAGATGAAATATGTACAAGCCATGTATCTGGCAAAGGATCACTATCTACAATATTTCTTAAAGATCATAACACTATAGTTAGGCCAGATATGATGGCACATGACTTTAATCCCAGCACTTGGGAGACTGAGGCATGCGGATCTCTCATGTTACAAACCAACTGGGGCTAAGGGAGTCTCTCTCTCTCTCTCTCTCTCTCTCTCTCTCCCTCCCTTTCTCTCTCTCTCTGCTATCTCTCTGTCTCTCACTCTCTATCTCTTTCTCTTAAAGACAAAGAGACCAAGAAACAAACAAAAAACAATAATTAATCAACAGAAATAATTTAATTAGAAAATAGAATGCCATCACAGTATTTCACCAGAGTTAATATCCACACAGCAAACAGTTTTAAAGAAAGGTTCAGTTTTTTTATCCATTAGGGCGATACAAACCCAAACCACAATGTCTTAAATTATGTAAAATATTGTTACAACAAGTAATCTTGGCAAGAATCTGCAGAAATTGGTCACTTGTGACTGTGAGTGAAAAGGAAAATGGCTCAGACCTCCTGGAAATAGTTTGTCACAGCTTTCTGTTCTTTGTTTTTGTTTTGTTGTTAGTGTTTGTTTGCTTGTTTGCCTTTAAAAACAAAGCATGCCATGACCGTGTGGTTCGGCCCCTGCACTCCTGGGTGTTTTCCCCTGGGAGAACGAAACTGTTGGCAAGATGTCCTTCAAGCAGATGCTCACAGTGGTGCATTTATAACAGCCAGAAACTGGCAACAAGCTGAGTGTCCTTCAGGGCAAGAATGCATGAATAGAGCTGGGTGATGGCTCTGTGAGCAAAACCTTGCTTCTGAGGTTAAACCCTGTGAAGCCACCCATGACCAGATATGGTAGCAGGAACATTGAGTCGACAGTAAGATGAGAGGTGGGGACAGAGGAATCAACAGAAGCTCCGTGGCCAGCTGGCCTGGTGTGTACA